TATTAAGGCCACAGAAACTGACGCGCAGCAATTGACACAGCCCGCAGAATTAGAAGCTTTTGATATACTTTTTAATTATTTAATTATAATCAAACGCTCTAATTTTATAGGCTATTAATTTTTGTAAAAATTTCTTAAGAGTACAAACAATTAATTTAAAAAAATTGTAATTTAATTCCTTTGCTATAAATATTTTTTTTCTACGCAAAGGATATCTTAGCTGAAATGCCGCAGGAATTAGTGCACTTACCCTACAGAAAATAAAAAGGCGAAATTTAAAAAAAAAATTTCATAGGAATTTATAGCTAATTTAGGGGGCGGTATCAATTGCCCTCAATTCAACTGTATACAGGAAAACTGCCCACAATAAACTGCATACTGGAAAACTGCATACAAGCAAGTATTAATAATAAAATTATTAAATTTAATTTGAAAACTGTATAAATCTAAACTGCATACCGTTAAACTGCACATTGGTAAACTGCACACAAGTCTAATTTTCTATTAAATTTATAAATAATTAATATTAAAAAACTCTACACAGTTAAAGTGTATATTGGTAAACTGCATACAAACTAAATTTAAAAAATTAAATTAAAAATTTATTTATTGTTCAACTGCACACCGTTAAACTGAACATTGCTGAACTGCATACAAAATAAATAAACAAATTTAAAAAATTTAATGTATCGTCAAATTGCACATCGGTAAACTGCATACATATCAACTATATACAGCTAAGTTCTCTTCTATGAATATATTCGATATGTATGCAGTTTACCGATTTGCAATTTGACGATACATTAAATTTTTTAAATTTGTTTATTTATTTTGTATGCAGTTCAGCAATGTTTAGTTTAACGGTGTGCAATTGAACAATAAATAAATTTTTAATTTAATTTTTTAAATTTAGTTTGTATGCAGTTTACCAATGTACACTTTAACTGTGTAGAGTTTTTTTAATATTAATTATTTATAAATTTAATAGAAAATTAGACTTTTGTGCAGTTTACTTATGTGCAGTTTAACGGTATGCAGTTTAGATTTATACAGTTTTCATATTAAATTTAATAATTTTATTATTAAAATTTGCTTGTATGCAGTTTATTGTATGGTATACGTATAATTGGTTTTTTTCTATAAAATTACTAAGTTTCTAGTGTTAATTGAGTAGGTTTATACTAGAAATTAGCAAATTGTTCTATTGAATTAGTAAACGTTTCCATATTTTCTACTTAGTATAGAAATTTCTAATTCTGTGTAATATTATGTTCTGTATTAAAAAATAATTTTTGCTTTTCTACATATTTAACTAACGTTTATAACTTTTACTACACTTCAGAATTTTTAAAAATATTTATATTGAAATAATATTTCGTTTATTTAATTATTGAGAATTTTCGAAACAAAAGATTACTGGGGGAACTGTGAATTAAGTTTTCTTGAAGCTAAAATAAAAAAATGTGATTGTAAATTGTTGTTTCAAAGCTTTATGTCATTGTTTCACATCAAACAGTCACTAGACCCAACTGAAAAAGTTTGTCTGGATTTTCCACATGGAAATTTACGCAGAAATCCATGAGGAGATTTGAAATAATTCACATGGAAAGCCACATGGAAATTTTCTATTTCTTCTATTTTTAAATATTTTCAAAAATAAACATCAAATTCGAATTCTGAGACCCGGAAGGGGTCTCACTCACTACTTTCTGCATTTTTAAAGAGGTTTTCGTTCATATTTGGAGTTTATTAAGAATATAAAAAAATCCATGCGGAAATCCACATGGCAATCCATGCGGATTTCATGTGGATAGTTTCAAATCTCCATATGGATTTCTACCTGAAAAATCCATGGGAAAATCCAGGCGATTTTTTTCAGCTGGGGAATGCGTAAAGTAATCATTTTACGCACTGAAAATCACTTTACACACTGTTTTCAGTGTGTAAAATTCAATTTTACAGGTTAGTGTTGCAAAAAATATTTTTCCTATGGCAAAAGTTTTTGAAAATATGCCTTTTTATTTGTGTTAGGTAGTTTTTGAGGTTGAGGATAGTTTTTTGCAAAATTCTTCTTAATGATATGTTAGAGCACTAAATTAATTCTCAATTCCTGTGAAAGAGATTTTTAAAAATTCTTACTTTTTAGTGTACCATACGTTTTCTTGAGAAATTTAACAGCTCTTAATTTTTATATATGGTACTAAATTAGCACTTAATTAGTTCTAAATTGTTGTGAAGAAAGAATTTTAAAAAATGCTTTTTTATTTCCTTTGTCTACTTTTTTAGGTTAGGGGTATTTTTTAGAAAATTCTTTTTAATGCTCTGTTAGAGCACTAAATTAGCTCTGAATTCCTTTGAAAAAAGTTTTGAAAAAATATACATTTTTATGTTTGCTAGGTAGTTTTTGAGGTTAAGGGTAGTTTTTGTAAAATACTCCTTTTAATTCTATGTGAGAGCACTAAATTAGTTCTAAATTTCTATGAAAAAAATTTTGAAAAAATATTTTTTTTTTCGTTAGGTAGTTTTTGAGATTAATTCCTTCGCTGTGAAGAGAAAAATCTTTAAAGTAGGTCCAAGATGTTAAGAAATTTTTTGGCAACCAAAATTTGTGAGATTCAGTACACTTAAGTTTTGGGGGTCGCTGATGACGAATCTAAAGTTAGATTTTCAAAATTCAAAATGGCGGATCCAAAATGGCGGACGTATTTTTTTGAATTCATCGGATTAGCTTGAAACTCGTTACTGTAACTAACACGAGTAATAAATAAACGAAAGGTAAACACTTAGAAGTCGGATTAATACCTATTGTTTCTCGAATCAATTTGAGTAAATTAAATCCAAAGAATATTATAAATGTACGAGTGTCCAAAATTTTAATAAGACGAATATACGATAATAAGACGATTTTATTATAGAAAAGTTGATTAATGTAAAATATCAAAACAAAAGACGATATGCCTTGTGCAAATTACATTCTAAGAATAGGGAGTGTTCAGAAATCATGTCTTTATTTTGGAAAATCTCTGCTTTTATAAAAAAAGAAAGACTCAACTTAGGTATTTACTTATTTATCATGTATTTTTAAAAAAATTCTTATTTTTTTCGTTTTTTACGAGCGATTTCAAACGTAACGACTAGTTTCAAGCGAATCTGATAAATTCAAAAAATACGATCGCCATTTTGAATTTCGAAAATCTAACTTCATATTCGGAATCAGCGACCTCGAAAACCCCCGAGTAACAAGTTTTAAGCGAATCCGATGAATTCAAAAAAATATGTCCGCCATTTTGGATCCGCCATTTTGAATTTCAAAAATCTAACTTCATATTCGGAATCAGCGACCTCGAAAACTCCCGAGTAACAAGTTTCAAGCGAATTCAATGAATTAAAAAAAAATTAGTCTGTCATCGAAATTCATATTCGTAACCAGCGACGTCGAAAACATTTTGATATAATTGTGTGAGATATTATTTTGATATGATAATGTATGCTGCCTGAGATTTAATATAATAAAAGTATCATTCAAAACAGTCTACTTTTGAGCAGCCATATTGGATTTTGGTTTTCAAATTTTCGAAATTTGACTTCAGATTCGGATTCAGCGTCGAAAATACCATAAGTAACGTATGTTTGACGTAAATTTACTTGTTTTTTCTGCCTTTTATCAATTTTGTTGTATGTACGTCTATAGACATACCTCACACTGGAAGCCCACTTTCAAATGTACGTCTATAGACGTACCCTCACAGTCAAGGGGTTAAGGGTAGTTTTTGGAAAATTCTTTTTAATGCTATGTTAGAGCACTAAATTAGTTCTAAAATGCTATGAAAAGAATTTTGGAAATATGTGCCTTTTTAATTTCTGTAGATAGTTTTTGAGGTAAAAGGTAGTTTTTGTGAATTACTTTTAATTTCTATTCTTGAGCACACAATTATCTCTAAATTGCTCTGAAAAAATTTTTAAGAAATAATTATGTCTTTATTTTCTTGTAGTTTTTGAGGTAAAAGGTAGTTTTGTTGAAAATTTTTCTTGTGCATTGTTTGAGCACTAAATTAGCTCAGGTTAAAATTAGTTTTTAGAAAATATCTTTCAGTACTAAGTTTGAGAACTTTATTAGCTTTAAAATTCTATCGAAAAATTTTTTTTTTAAATTTGTTTCTTAATTCTTATTAGGTAGTTTTTGAGGTTAAGGGTAGTTTTTTTAAAATACTCCTTTTAATTCTATGTGAGAGCACTAAATTAATTCTAAATTTCTATGAAAAAAATTTTGAAAAAATATTTTTTTTTCGTTAGGTAGTTTTTGAGATTAAGGGTAGTTTTTGGAAAATTCTTTTTAATGCTATGTTAGAGCACTAAATTAGTTCTAAATTCCTGTGGAAAAGTTTTTTAAAAATTGTTATTTTTTAGGGTATGGTACTTGTAGCTATACGTCAAGCTGGCAGTACCATACGTTTTTTTAAAAAGTTTAGCAGCTCTAAATTTTTAAATATGGTACTAAATTAGCACTAAATTAGTTCTTAATTCTGGTATAGAAGAAAAATTTTTTTGTGAAAGTGGTACTTGTAGGTTTACCTACCTATATTATTCCAGCACTTTTAAAAAAATTTTCTGACTTTTTCCTGATTTCCCTGAATAAATTTAGAAAAATAGTGATTTTGTGTAGAATTCTTCTGAATAATTGAATTTTTGAATGTTAGTGATATGAAAATAATATTAATTAATTTTGACTAGAAAACTATTAGAAACAAAATAACAAATAAATAATTAATTCTAATTAAATGTAATTTATTTTTGATAATTAATAAGTCAAAAATAATGTAATGAACATATTTTTCATTATCGTCTCATTGGCATTTACGCTTTTATTAATTTTCATGTGACATGTAATGTAAAAATTACATTATTGTTATATATATGTTAAAAGTGAAACAAGAAACTTCACGCGCGCGTTATTTGTGCTAGTATATATAATAAAACATAATATGAATTATTTTATTTACCTGAACAACTTTGTTCCAAAACGGATGAGTGATGTAAATGCTGATAGGACTTGTGTCCATACAACTATACTGCAAAAAAATATTTCTGTGTTAAAATTTACATTAAAAAAGAATATATTCTAATAATGCGTGAATGTAAATATTAAATTGCGCAATATTTTTGTTTTAAAACATGTGTTACGCTACAAAGAAAGGTACTTAAAAAGCAAATAATTTTTTGGTTTGGTTGTGTTATTTTTACCATAATTAAAAGTTTCTGTTTAATTGTGTAAAACTAAAATTAGTTTTTATAAATTGTTTTACAGTTTATCCTCTTTTGTACATTTTTATTTAAAAAATTACAAACATAATCTATAAAATTTTTTGCTTTTTAAGTACCTCTCTTCAGAGCGCGTCACATATATTAATTTATTTCTTAAGAATATAAAAGTATTAACATTAAAACAAAAGGGATCGTTTGAACCCGTGTAAGATTGAATAAATAAATAAATAAACATTGTAAAAAATGTATCTTATTTTAACTCAATTTGATCTTGAAATCTGAATTCGTGAAAAAATACTAATAGTAAAATTTTACTGATTATACTGTTGGCCATTTTCATGGACGACTTATTTTCTGAATTTTTATTAGTAAGGGGCCATTCAAGTATTACGTAAGCATTTAAGGGGGAGGGGGGTCTAGCTATTGCTTATTTCCATTAGAAAAAATGGCGCTAATGGATATAAAAAATCTTACGATGGGGGAGGGGGGGGGGTCTAAAAACCTGAAAAATATGCTTACGTAATACTTGAATGGCCCCTAAAATAAACTAATTGTTTATGAATTTTTATTACAGTTTTTGTAGAATTTCACTAATTCAGGGTGGCCACTTTTTTTGTAAAAAAAAATTCACGGTCATTTCCCGGTCCATTCCCGGTCATAAATTATTTTTCCCGGTCATAAATAATAACTCTGAAAATAAATTATTTCATGAAAGATTGAAAGAATTTCCTGATTTTTAGACAAAACTTTGACTTTTTCCCAAACCCTAAAAATATGTTAGTTTACTCTAAAAATAATTTTGAACTTAAATAGATTTTTTGAAATAAATATTTAATTAAAATCCATTATTTTTCCATATAGTAGGTATTCAAATTTCAAAAAAAATTCAAATTTCAAATCCTTTAAATTTGAATAATTTTTAAGAATTGCTACTGCAACTTATTAAAAATTATTTTCAAAATTTAAATTCAATTATATTCTAGAAATAACTAAAATATTTCTAAAATCCACTTGTTTACAAGACAATTTCATGAAATATTGAATAATTTGAAAATTTTTTAATTAAATATTACATATTTAAAAACATAACTAATTTGAAAAAATGTGAATAAAAATATTTTTAAAGACTAAATTATTCAGAATTTTTAATTAAAATCTTTTAAAATTCAACTTTTCTAAAACTTCAATTTGAAATTTTTTAAAATTCAGTCTATAATAATATTAGTAGTGCGATTCCATGGGAGATTTTAGTTTTTTCGGAGTAAGTAAACCAATTGCAATGAAATTTTGGAATTTAAATCTACACATAAAAAGACATATTTCCACCAAATATTACGTCAAAATATTCAGTAGTTTTTGAGATGTCAAAATTTTGGAAAAATTTTGAAATCGTTATATCTTCTTTCCATCTTAACCAAATCACTTAATTTTTTTTGGAGAAAATTCAGCATAAAAAAACGAAAAAGTTTTTTATATTATGTTTATACAAAATTTTTATAAACAAAAAAGTTATTAAATAATAATTGAATAACTTTTGAACAGCTTCACGGAATTGAATGAAATAAGCACTAAAATAATCTTACCTTTGATTTCTTTAAGATTCCGAAAAAAATACCTGGCAACGAGATTGTCTTCATATAATATTTTAAATATTTTTGTTCACTTATGAGCGCAAACATTAGAAGTTTCTGCTACTTTACGTGCAAATTCAGGTGCGCGCGCAGACCTCTCTCTCTGAAACCGGAAACTCGCACCTAAATTTGCACGTAAAGTAGCAGAAACTTCTAATGTTTGCGCTCATAAGTGAACAAAAATATTTAAAATATTATATGAAGACAATCTCGTTGCCAGGTATTTTTTTCGGAATCTTAAAGAAATCAAAGGTAAGATTATTTTAGTGCTTATTTCATTCAATTCCGTGAAGCTATTCAAAAGTTATTCAATTATTATTTAATAACTTTTTTGTTTATAAAAATTTTGTATAAACATAATATAAAAAAAACTTTTTCGTTTTTTTATGCTGAATTTTCTCCAAAAAAAATTAAGTGATTTGGTTAAGATGGAAAGAAGATATAACGATTTCAAAATTTTTCCAAAATTTTGACATCTCAAAAACTACTGAATATTTTGACGTAATATTTGGTGGAAATATGTCTTTTTATGTGTAGATTTAAATTCCAAAATTTCATTGCAATTGGTTTACTTACTCCGAAAAAACTAAAATCTCCCATGGAATCGCACAGTAATATTAATTTAACATTCTAAAAAATCGCAAAATTTGCTTATGAATAATTGTAAAAAAACTAATTGATATTAATGAAAAATACGGTTTTTTAAAATTTATTTTCTAAGAAAAGAAATTTTATTTATTTTTATTTACTTTATTTATTATTCAAAAATTCATTTTTATAAATTTCGTATCACTTTTGTTCTAATTAGTTCAAATTTTTAATAATTCTTATTTGTTTTGTTATAATATTAATTGCAAAAAATTTTTAAATTGATTTATTTTTCATTATTTTATAGGATGTGAAATTTTTTCTCTTTGAAATTTTTTTGACAAATTTAATTAAAATTATATTTTGTTTAATTATTGTTAGAAATAGAAAGAATTTAAAATTAAATTTAATATTTTCTTTTTCTAAGTCTGTTACGTTGGACAACAAAATTCATAATTTTCTTATAAATTCTAGAAATTGAATATTTTTATAGTACTTTTTATAAAATTCTCTGACAAAATATAAATAGATTTTATAGAAGATCATTCAATCTTTTTTAATGAAATATAGTTAATACCTAAGTCTTAAAATAAATATTTCTATTTTTTCTCACAAAGTAATGTGTGTTTTTAAAAACAAAATTCCAAAATCCCGGTCAAGATCAAAATTCACTGTCATTTCCCGGTTTTTCCCTGTCCAAAAAAATTCACTGTCATTTCCCGGTTTCCCGGTCCAGCGGCCACCCTGCTAATTGTTAGTCATATGATTCATTAAATGAATTAGTTATACGGTTTTCTCGACTTCTAATAAAACAGATCTAATTGTTAGTGAAATTCCATTAACAATATTAAACTACTCATTTTTAAAAAAGTAAAAAATATAAAATTAGAAAACAATGTTTGTACTTGGAAAAACGCATGTCAAAAGATGTTAAGCACTTATTTCCTGACTTAACAGAAAGCAAAGAAAATAAGTAAATTTAAAAATTCTCCTAGTCTTTTAATATAAAAATAAGAAAGCTGTTTCGATATATTTTATTTATTTATTTAGATGAAGTGTTATTTATTTAGGTAAAGGGCTAAAGGCCCTTTAAAAAATAGTTATATAGGATTCATTTTCGATTTATAACATATATAATAGGCCCTTAAAAAATAGTTACATAGGATTCATTTTCGATTTATAACATATATTATAATACTAGTAGTAATACTGTAGTATAATAATGATAAACACAGGCATCACAGTACCTTTTTTCCTCAAAAAAGGTGAAAAGGGGAATCTTATTTCTCAAAAAGGGTACAAAAAGGGGACAAAAATTTATTTGTTTATAAAACTTGCATATATAATTCAAATTTTTTATCATATAACTTCTATAAAATTTTGACTTTTTCCCTGACCTTAAAGAATATTCTGATTCACTCTAATAATAATAGAAATAAAAAAATATTCAAATTCATATCTTTTTGAAATTCAACAATATATTATAATAATTAAAGATGATCGAATAATAAGATCATTATTTTGTAGGTGTTATAAATAAGAAATATTTTTACTGTAATTTCTTCAAAATAATATTAATCATTTCAATTCAATTATTATTTTCTAGAATTTTTAAGCATAAAATTCTTCTTTAAATCAATTATTTATAGTCATTTTTTCAAAAATTCTGAGAATTTTCAAAAATGTATTTATTTACAATTCAATTTTACAAAATTTCGACTATTCGGAAATTTTTCAATTAAATAGATATTAGAAAATAAAAACTTCGAATAATTTCAATTAAACTTTTTGAAAAAAATTAATTCTACAGAATTGTTAGTTAAAAATATAAAAAATTCAGATTTTCAGATTTCAATTTAAAACTATTTCAAAATTTAATTACTTCTAAAAATTCTAGCTATAATGCTTTTAATATTCAAATATTATGTAAAATTTTAACTGAAATTCACTTTTAAATCAATTTCTATTAGAAAATTCGACGAGAATTCAATTATTTAAATCGAAAAATAAATAATTTATATTGAATAATTGAATGTTTCTTAATATTAAATTCTCATAAAGAATGTTATCAACAAATTTTTAAATTATTAAATTCTTTCGACGAGTTTGATTATTTATGAAAATAATGAAATTATTGCGAAGAAATTTATAAACAATTTGTAAATAATATATGTTATTTAAATCAATAACATAAAAAGACATATTTATATTATGTTGTGGTGTTAATTATCTAAATCAAAAATAAAGCTCAATAAATTCTATAACATTGTGTCTAAAGTAAATTTTATGATTACACTTTGAAAAAGATTTCAAAAAAAGAAAAACTTGATTACTTTTGATTAGAAAAGGTGAAAAAAGGGACAAATCAGCAAAAAAGGGGAAAAAGGTGACAAATCGTCAAAAAGGTGATAAAATTGAAATAAGGGGACCAACTGTGATGCCTGAAATAGTCGAAAAAATCATAATATCCGAGGATTTCATAATTAAAATACATACTAGAATCAAAAAAATATATATTATTGTACATATTTATTTATTTAAGATTTAAAAAAATAAATGTTATTCTATAGATAGAAAAATAATTTAAAGGTTGCAGTTTTGTTATGTCAAATGCATATCTTTCCTTTTAACATTAATTGCTTTAAAAAAAATAAAGAATTTAAAGATAAACTGCGGGAAATTAGTTTTTTAATATAATATAATATAGAATTCGGAATATTTAAATATTACGAAAATAATAATATTCAAATTGTTCAAAATGACTTAAAGAATATAACTATTCTTAAATGAACATAAAATTTGAAAGCAGAATTTAACATATACTGAAGGACATGAAAAATAAAACAATGTTTTTAACCTTTTTAAATTATTCATAATTTTGACTGTAAACTTTTTTGTTTTTTACTTGTGATGCATTGTAAATAAAAATTATGTAAATTTGTAAATGTAATTTCGATTAAAAACTAGTTTTAAAACGCAATTAAGCGGAAAATCCTTTTACAAGTAACTTTACTTGACTTTTTAATGAAAAAATCTCAATTTCGAAAAATTGGCGCTGATTCCTTTGACATGCCACCCTTCATATATATATATATAATTTCAGTGAAAAGGATATCTTTTTATATTCGGTACAAAAGGGATGAAAGAATGATTTTTTCGAATTTTTTATTTCTTTCTTTATTGTAAGTATAATGAAATCATGATTAAGAATTTCGGGAAATTTAAACTTTATGAAATTCTTCATAACTTTGAGGTTATATACTTTATCATTCAGAATCAGTAAACTAAAAACATTATTAAATTAGTGATTACTTACTTTATAATTTTCGAAGCCAGTCAGATGCTCCTGTGTTAAATATTCTACTTCTAATTTCATTATATCTCTCTATAATTACAAACTGAATGGAATTTTGAAATGCTGCAGACTCAATTTTAACAATTAACTATTTGTCAGAAATTCCGAAAATACCGGATTAAGGAGTTGCATTGAAAGAAATAACTCACTTAAAACTTTGTCAATAATTAAATTGAAACTTAATTTTAAAAACTACAAGCTACAATTGACTAAAAATAAAATAATTGACCAACCCATTCAATCTGCAAGGAATCTTTCTTTTCGTTCTTTCTAACTTTGTTTCACTAAATTGAACAATTCCAAAACTAGACAAAGTTGGTCAGACAACATGAGACGACAGACGCAACATTGAAAAAATCATCGGAATCTCCCAATCACACTGCGCAAGACGATCGCGTGTTGTATCGCGTGGCTCCATGACGCATGCGTAAAATGTTGAATCAAGTTCAAGTAAAGGCCTAAGCACAACTGGTTCGGTTTCGGGATATATGCTTTCTAACCTCAAAATGTATGTAAATCTTAAGGCCGCAGTCCCATGGCAGCGTTTTGCGTTGCGTTGTAATGAGAGAGAATGCAGCAAACGTATATTTGCGTCTTTTTCTCTCCCATTACGACGCAACGCAAAACGCTGTCATGAGACTCCACCCTAAGGGTGAGATCCCATGTGAACAGAATATGTCGACCGAAAGCAGAAAATCATGAGTGCAAAAGAGATAGATAGATATTGTTGTTCTTTTCACTCTCATGATTTTCTGCTTATTTATTTTCTTTTTTCACCCTAAGGGTGCGATCCCATGTATGCAGAATACGTCGACCGAAAGCAGAAAATCATGAGAGTGAAAAGAACAATAATATCTATCTATCTCTTTTGCACTCATGATTTTCTGTTTTCGGTCGACGTATTCTGCTGTAATGGGATTGCACCCTAAGGCCTAAGCACAACTACTTCGCGAATGTCGTTCGCGAACGCAATGCTTGGGTCAGAAAAGGACAGAGACATATTTGTGTCCTTTTCTAACTCATGCTTTACATTCGCGAACGACGTTCGCGAAGCAGTTGTGCGTTGGCCTTTAAGTCCAACGCACAATACACTGTAAAAAAATCTGGTGTAAATTTACTATGTCCGACGTTGGAAAGTTTGGTCACTATGTCCGACGTGGTATTTTTACACGCCGACTGTAATCTACATAACCTGCAAATATTTTTTGAAATAATATATTCAGTCGTAACTTTTTGTATTTATGAAATATAGCCCAAAACTTTTTGTAATATTATTATTTACTTATAAATTAGCATATACTTTCTATAAATGTACATTATATACACTTTTTTAGAGTTATTTATAAAAACTTGAAAATTTTTTGAAAATCTTAAAGGAATAAGAAAATTACATTCGCCATGTAATTGTACAGATCGTGCGACGTAATATTACGTCAAAGTGTAGAAATACACGCAATGTAAAAATACCACGTCGGACATAGTGATCAAATTTTCCTACGTCGGACGTAGTAAATTTACACAAAACTATTAAATTACATAGTCGTATAATGTAAAATTATTAAAAATAGTAAAACTACTTTTGGAACGAAATAAATTTACTACGTACAACCTATAATTTTGATGTGTGAAATTACAAGTTTCGTGTTATTTTACACCAGATTTTTTTACAGTGTAGGTTCGCGAATGTCGTTCGCGAACGAGACGCATGAGATAGACAAGGACACAAATATATCACTGTCCTTTTCTAACTCATGCTTTGCGTTCGCGAACGACTTTCGCAAACCTATTGTGCTTAGGCCTTTACATCCTTTCTTAAAAAAGACATGGAGTGGAAAGGTCGAATGTATTGAAAAGTATCCTTTCTTAAAAAAGACATGGAGTGGAAAGGTCGAGTGTATTGAAAAGTATCAAAGTAAAGAATGGGCAATGAGAATGTAAAATCTTAATAGAAGGGTGTTTTTAAAATTGTTTGTACATGTGAAGGTGGCGCTGCAGTCGTATGTTATTTAAAAAGAGCGCGAATATATAAATTTTATTTTTGTTAAGAGAAAGTACTCATAATAAATCTTATTTTGCATTGTCAAAAAAACGTCAACATTTCAAATATAAATAAGCAAATTATTAACTGAAAAAATTTGAATATTATTATTAATAAAATAATGGACTTGGACAATGGACATATAAAAACTAGCACCGTAGACGGCCGCTTGCGGCCGTCGGAGGAGCTATATCCCGAAACTACGGAAGCGCCTACGCGCCACGAGGCAAAGAGAGGATGTAAAATGCTCTTATTGAAAGAAATTTTGAAGTGTTTAATGTTTAACGTCAAGTTTAATTATGTTTAATGAAAAGTTTTGAAACATAACCTCAAGTCAATTTAGTGGAATAGAAATTTCTACTGATTTGTTGTACTTTCTCATTCTTTTGAATGCGCGTTTTATATTTTGTGAAGTCAATTCAGAATAAAAGATTTTTCTGAAATTTTGATGGTTCCCGTGGAATAGAGATCCGAGGTAAATTCGCCTATTGAGAAGAATACAACTTTTGAATTCTTTTCAATTTTCCTCTTCTTACTGGGGCATCAAATGATAGCACGAAAACTGTCAATTTAGACTTTAGCCAACCAAAATTCACAATTTTACTCACTAACCAACCTCGTTTGCTATTTTCACAGCACTGTCAGCCTGAACGTCGAAAAAAACCCTTTATTTTAACCTTTACATTCATTTATGCATATATTCTATAATGAACATGTGAGAGGCTTATTTCAAGTAAAAAGCAGAACAGCAGTAAAAGACATCAAGTTACTAAACAAGTAGGAGAGAGTTAGCATCATTGAACCGGGTCTTTTATAAAGTCCTACACTGAGAAAAATAATATTGTAATGTCAACAAAATCGTTTTGTTGAGCACTTTTTGTTGAGATTACTAAAATATCTGTTATAAATAATACCTAAAAAATATTTTATTACATTAAAATTGTCAATTTAAATTAATTTGGTTCATTTTTATTTCTTATTTTAAATTTTTTATTTAGCAACAATCACAGCATCGAACCAGCGAACCATCGAACGTGTTCCTATGTTTCCATGGACGTAAGAAGTAAATGGACGTAGCACTAAGCTGCGGGGTCTAGACCGTCGTAGGTAAGGGGGAAACAGTTCATTGCGCATGAATTGGTGGAGACTCGGTAATTGGTCAATCTTTTGTCACATGTATAGCAGACGATAACGAACATATTTGTTTGTTGTCATCGTTGATGACTCTAAACTTATCAACATAAATTAATAGTTAATGTTTCTATTAATTATATAATAATGAATTAAATATGATTAACGGTGTTGGAAGATCTCTGATATTTCGAGGTTATGTGAGGCCTTCGATTATCGCCCAACAGAATAAGGCAGTGACTGGTTTAAATGACGTGAAATAGGTAAACAAACGTTTTCCAACTAATTTTTAAATAATCACAGACACTTTTTACAAAATATGTCAACTACAATAGGTAAGCATCTTCTAAATTACAATAATCGAAAATATTGTTCAGATTCATGCAGTAATGCGGTTATAAAATGAAAAATTGGAAGGTAATGTATAAAGCAAACGATATCATAATAGCTGTGCCATTGTACTCGCTCTGCATGCTTCTGCCCTCTACTGGCCACTGGCTATAAGCACTTCTTGCAGCCTGTCAATGTTACTTTTCAACCTTTCCAATTTTTCATTTAAAAAATCTTTTTGATTATTGTAATTTAGAATGTGCTATGTGCTTGCCCGTTGTGCGTTGACAGGTTTTTGTAAAAAGTGTATCTTTGTTTCAGAGAAATATTAGTTGGAAAATGATGTTTGTTTACCTAGTTTACGTCATTCCTTTAGTTACAATTTATTTATTTAAAGTTTATATTTTTTATATTAAATAATGATACAGGGACAAATAATAGGTACAGCGTGATTTAATCAATAGTAAATTACAAATTATTAAGTAATAAATATTATATAATAGGTATTTAATTGTTAAAGTAAAGAATAAACTATAAGACGATAAGAAAAATCTATTCTTTATCATATTTTATTAAGAGTAGTATATATTATTTTTAAATATTTACCAAATGATGAATCTAACAAATTTGTTGCATATTTTTATTAGAAAACTCATTTCTTGGAATGTAATTTTTTTGCAGGTTATGTTTTTAGTTAGATTTCGCTCTTTAAATTATGCGCGGCGCAAGCGCCCAAATCAACCAATCCACTAGCCTCCACCTAATCATTACCCTTTACCGATGATGTGTAACACCCCCCTTGTCTATAGTAGGACTTTGTGCTGTGTCCATTTATTTCTTAGGTCCATGTATGTTTCACAAGCTAAAACGACATTAGCAGAAACAGGTTTCTTCTCTTTGCCTCGTGGCGCGTAGGCGCTTCCGTAAAAACGACATTAGCAGAAACAGGTTTCCTCTCTTTGCCTCGTGGCGCGTAGGCGCTTCCGTAGGATATGCAATATGCGTCTCCCCATGGCAGCGTTTTGCGTTGTGTTTTGTAACTAGGCCATGAGTGCAAATATAGCAAACATATATCTCCATCTCTCTCACACTCATTGCCTAGTTACAAAACGCAACGCAAAACGCAGCCTTTCATCTCAAAATGGAAAAGCATAATGAATATTAAGTCGAATCCTCAAGTGTCAAAGTAAAAGTTGCAGTTATTTATGTTGAAACGAATTGTAAATGGACCGCAATTTGATTTTTTAAAAGTAATATGCACCTTAAAGTATATGAAAATAAATAACAATTAAATGAAAATGTTGTTTTATATAAATATAAATTACTATAATTTATATTTGTCAGTTTTATTATAGATGCTAATTTTTAGTAGTTAGAAATTTAAATCTTTATCTTGAAGATTCAAGTTAAATGCAATTTAACATAAAATTAATTTTAAAGATTCAATATTTTGGTTAATTTATATATAGAGGTAAATTGAAAAGAAATTTCTTTTTTAAAAGCTCAAATGATAATATAAATGAATTTTTTAGTCTGGAAATTATAAATGGACATACATATTGTTCTATATATTAAATAACTGACAATATTTATAAATTTCCAATTTGTTATAAATTACAATTTTAATTTCAGTTCAATTCAGTTTAACCTAATTTCAAATTTTCTATATTGATTTCTAACGAAAGACTACTTATAAAGAAATTACAAGTATTCCAATGTAAAATTAATCGATATGATGCATAACCTAAATGTAATGTTTTATATTCTGTATGCGTCATAAAATACAAATACTTGAAATAATATTTATTATAATTTTACCATTGGACAATCAATTGTGACATAAAGTATAAAGTCGCAGCAACTTAATTTAACGAAAACATT